AAGTGTACAGCCCACACAGTTTTGTTTGAGGCATTGTACTTGCAGTCTCCAGTAGGTGGCAGTACAGTCACATTTAAAACAAACGATGAGCGAAGAATGAAACATTTTTAACGTCAGAGCTTCAGGTTCATTATTGTGGATTGACTTTGACATTTGTCTTTGTTTCTTTTTACTGATTAATTAATTAAGAGCAAATATTGCATTAACAATTATATTCAGGTCTTTTGGGATAAAAAAAAAGAAACACATATAACTTAAATTCTCCTCAGGATATAAACTGCTGGGCCTAAAAGAAGGATTCATTTTTTTGGAATAATCTTAAACTTGTAATGCATAAACTGAAAATGCATAAATTGTGTGGTTAAATTAAAAAAATGATGGTGTATCGGTTAAACTGGTAATAATCTACTTATATTGTTTACTGTATCTTAACTTAACTTAAATAATTGGTTAAATCTTCTTTTGTAAAAACTGTTAAAATGTTGTGACCAGAAGAGATATTTAAAGTCAGTAGCCTTCAAACAACAACAACAATAGTATAATAATAATCATCATCATCAAAATAAGAATATTTTAGCAGAACTAAAATGAGAAAAGAACATTTGAAAGAAATGATACTCAAATCATTTGAGTATAATGAATTTCCATATGAAACGGTTTTTTTTTAATGAAACACTTCCAAACTCTCTTTTAAAAATAAATCTCTTTAATGACTTGCAACATCTTTCAGTCAAACAAACCAGGAAACAAAATTAAGTTCATGAAAAGATGTAAATATGTTTTTATCCACTTGTGCTAAGTCAGAGGTTTGCTGAACAAATTAAGGGCGAGTCCTCATATCATCACCACCACTAACAGGTTTCAAAAGTCAAAGTGTCTTTAGAAATAAAGCAAAAAATCCATGACCAATACTTTTATCGTCACAGTAATCAGGGCGGAAGTCAGAGTGGACAGTTGTGTCACATGACGCACGGCTTGACGTCCTGACAGACGCTCTGGTGGTGGTGGTGGAGCTGGTGGTAATAAGAGCCTCCGCTGCTGGGATGGAGGGACGAGATCCCGTTCAGGTTCAACACGAAGTCCTTCCTGTCACACACAGGAGCTGAGTGACCGGAATACCGAGACAGTCCCACTGAAAACAAACAGCACAAGTCAGGGTCACTCGTTTGTTTATGGGCCTCATCATTCATGTTTGTCATTTCTATTCCAAATACTGGATGACAAAAGATAACATATATAAATTATTTGAGGTCATTTTTAATAAGGTAAACGTTTAAAGTTGTGTCCAGTGGTTTTATTAAAACAGTCACTGAAGCTATATAAACTATTTAACATGCTGTGGGTTGCCAGGTTTGCGAAAAATCATTTGGCTGATATTAATCCTAATTGAATACAAAATAATTATCAATTTCTTTTTTGCTATTAACAATGAAGTCAATGCTGATGAGTCTAAATTGTGGTCACTTTGCATTGTACGTGTTCTGCTCTGCAGCCTTGCTCTTCCTGTTGAACTAAAAATGTGAAAAGACAAAGCACGTAGTTTGTTTTGGTGAAGGAGGTTAAATCAACAGCGAGGAGATTTTGACGACGTGGCAAATCCAAAATGGTTTTATTAGTTTATAACGGATCAATTAAACAAATGTAAATCATATGTTTATCAGTGAGCCCCATTTCAACTTGTATATTCAACGAATCGAGTTTGTGTGGGTGTTTTATTAGAAAGTGACCAATTTGATCCATGATGTCACTAAAAACACCAACAAAAGAAAAATATAATGAAACAAAAAACGAACTAAAACTATTAGAATAACAGGCTAGAAAAATTCCCTTCAGTGAAAAATACGTGAACACGTCAAAGGCCTGAATGAATTTGCAGTGAAACTAAACTAAGGTTTTTTCCCCACTGTTGATAATGTATTTGTGACTTTTTCAGTTTTGATGCTGATATTTCAAATTCATTCTATAGCACGAACTCCTCTATACCTTGTGATAAATGCAATTAGCTGGTGCGAAGTTTGGATTAAACACTAGATCATATCTGGTAGAAAATGTGTTAAAATCTTACCACAATTTAATGACGGACAGTGAAACATTAAAACTGAAAAACAAATGTTATGATGATCTCTGGATTTTATTTGAACGATGATATAATCGGATCAATTCGTGTAGATTCGATGGTTCTTGACAGTATTTTGTGAGTTATAATAAACAGTAAATATTCGATTAAGTTGTTAAACGTTTTAGTCAAAAACTGGTAATTTCACGTGCAAATTATTTTTCATTGCTCATCTCATGAAACTCGATTAATAAAACATGCATAGGGAAAGTTTCTATAGATTTGATTCGAATTGGCTACAGTTTGCTCTTTGTAATGCGTAAAGATAACGACTCCTGTTTTGGTTGACAACCCATCGCTGCAGTTTAATATGAATTATGAACTTTGACAACAATTGCTCTATCAGATAATAAAACATTTAGTTTGTGCATATGAGCAAACCGCGTGTATCCACCTGGGATGTCAGAAGAATCTCGCGCGTTATGGTGCAGATAGCCCTGATCCAGAGAGTAGGAGGATGACATCCCTGTGTGCAGAGCAGAAGAAGTGGGGCTGCTTGATGCAGCCAGACACTGCTGCTTCATGTATGAAGGTACACCAGGTGAACTCCAGTGAGAAGCTGCATTTACATAAGGTGACTGACTGTCCAGAGAGCCCAGCATTGCAGGAGAGGACTGCAGGGGACTGCTGTTGCTGTCCGGGCAGTAGTCCGTGTTTGAGGCCGCCTGACACGCAGCCATGTACGATGGCCCGCTGCCCGATGACATGTGTGGGACGTGGTGGCCCCCTCCAAGACCCTCGAAGCCACCTGGCACTGGATTACCCATCAGGTCTATGTTATAGCTGCTGTGACATGTTAGTGAGCCTGAAGGTGACTGGAAATCAAAGTTTTGTGGCAGCATTGATGCACCGAACCCGATGCCATTCATCATCCTGTACATTGGTTTCAAAGCCTGGCACTTCCTGCGGAATCCCCGAGGTCTGCGACGAAAGGAGCCCTCCTCGAACATGAACTCACTCCCCGGGTCGATGGTCCAGTAGTGGCCCTTGCCAGGTCTACCGAGACCTTTGGGCAGCTTTATGAAACACTCGTTCAGAGACAGGTTGTGTCTGACGGAGTTTTTCCATCCTTGGTATGATCCCCTGAAGAAAGGGAAGCGCGCCTGCAGGAACTGATAGATCTCGCTCAAAGTGAGCCTTTTGGTGGGCGAGCTTTGGATCGCCATCACAATGAGGGCGATGTATGAGTAAGGGGGCTTCTCGGGGCGCCTCAAACCCGAGTTCCCCTTCTTCCCTTTCACGGATGCACCCTGCACCACCGCGCTCTCCATCACTGGCTGTGCGCTCAGCAGAGATGAATTCAGAGCAGCTTGTCCGGAGCGTGGAGGATTGGATGGATCCAGATGTTGCTGGGAGCTCTCGGTCGTCATGGCTGCGGTTCCTTTTTTTGTTGGATCCAACCACTGTGGGTTCCTGCACGTAGGAAAACTTTCTTCAAACTCTCAAAGGTTTCCTGATGTGACAATAACAGAGGTCAGAGTCTCTTTGCGATGCTCAGCGCGTTTATAACCGTGTAACGCCAGCCGCTGTGCCACCTTCCTCCCTCTGTCCATCGCTGGCAGTAATCCCATATGAGAGGGGGAATAAGGCTCCTGGACTTTGCTTGCGCACATCCACCGCGGCCAAACACAACCCGACCACCTATCAATTCTTAAATCTCTCTCTGCCCCTCTATCCCCCAAAATCCCTCCAAGAAATCGCCAGGAACTGCTCCCTCCCCATCTGGCCCGGATCCAGACTAGAAGCCGGACACGGCGCAGTGGAGTAAGACAAATCTCCTCCCACGACTCCCTTTTCCAAAACACCTCTGTTCACATTTTTCAGGCGAATATTTGGCACAATAACTTGACATGTCGTTGAATAAAGACACTCAGTCTGCATAAATCTTTTAGTCTCACGTTCTTGCGTAAAGTGATGTCATGTTGCAAAGGTGCACATGAGAGGGGGTCCTGATTTGTTTGGGATCTGTTCAGGGTTATGACTCTGACATGAGAGGGAGCATGCTTTTTCCATCAGAGCGTGCCAACATACCACACACAGTGCACGAGTGTCAGTTTACTTCTCGGGGTCTGGATTTCATCCCTGGGGAAATGAAATTATTGTAAAAAAGTCACAAATAATGATTTAGATGCTGGAACAACGTCGATTACTGTAAACATCTTATTGCATTAAATCAATTTGGAGCCAAGTCACCACATTTATGACGTGAAATACACATCAGCAGAGTTCAAACGCAATCTGCCCTGAATATCAGCAACATCAAACCTGCAGTCCTGCTGCGTCCAGGCCGCGTTGCTGCTTTAAAAGGAAATTTACTTTCTAGCCTCAGAAGAATGGGGCCTATAGTGGGAAGAGATTTCTTCCTATTGTGGATTCCAGCTCTGTTCGCTCAGGATGCACCATTTGTATAAACTCTTTCCTGCGCATGTGTGGTGACTGAGGCGACAGCTATTTACAGAGCCAGACAGAAAACATAAATATCGAATGCCCCCATCCGCCTGCAGAGAGGATTCTTGAAGAGTGGGAAAATTATTTTTATTAAATAATAATTATTATTGATATTATCATTACCATTATTATTATTAATATTTTCATTACTACTATTATTATTATTATTATTATTGCTGTTATTAATATTACTCCTCCTATTGCTACTACTAATAATAATGTGATTGGAGGAGGTTAATAGGAGGCCCTTATTGGGGCACTTCCACCTCCAGCAGTGGTCACGTGAACGTCTCACACAGGTGTCAGTCCTTATTTAGTCCCACAGGAACCATCATGACTGGTTTGAATGTAGCATGAGTAAAATATTTTATTGTAAAGAGCGTGTTTGTTTTGTAAGAGAGGGAAACAAAAACAGTCAAAGTGCTTGTTTCCAGCACGTTTATTGAACAATTCAGTAACATTCAAAACAAACAACAAATATGTATAAAATATCATATCTGATAGGGCCTTAAAACGAAATGACCAGAGGTACAAAAATAAGTGTAACACCATATGCCGCCACATTAAAATGAAATCCCAACACTGATGGGAAAAAGTTCTGTATTTGTTGCATGGTCCCCTCCTGCCTCCTCTTTTCCATCAGTGCACGTTGATGGTTATTTAACCATCCACTAAGAAGAGAGTTTATTTGTGATATTGCAGGACTGAGTGTGGCACGTGCGGAGCAGCAGCTCGGGAGTCCATGTGGCATGAAGGAGCCTTGACGCATGGGAACGAGGCAGGTGTATGTGAATGAGGCGTCATCAGTTCAGTGTAGCGCTGCCAGGTGAAAGCTGCAGGGTAGAGAGGGAAATGTTCCGTGTTCGAGTCTCTCTTGTACGGTGTGCTGAGGATGCTGTCTATAGCAAATGAACTAGTGAACTTGGGACATGGTTCAGTCTTGGTTGCAGTCGCAGATCGTGGAGTGCTTTGCGGCTCGGACGCCTCCTCCTCAGGCTGATGCTGCTGCGAGCCGAACTTCTTGTTGATGCGCTTTCTCCTCCGACGGAACACCCCGTCAGCAAACGTGTACTCGCTGTGAGGATTGAGCATCCAGTAATTGTCCTTCCCCCAAGGTCTCGACGGGTCCCGGAGAACTTTGAGAAAGCAGTCATTCAGAGACAGGTTGTGGCGCACCGAGTTCCTCCAGCCGGTGTAGCTGCCCCTGAAGAACGGGAACTTTTTCATCAGGTACTCGTTTATCTCCGCCAGAGTCAGGCGGCCACACAAGGAGTCCCTGATGGCCATGGCAATGAGGGCGATGTAGGAGAACGGGGGTTTGGGTCTCCGCGTGTACGGCTTCGACTTGCTGCTGCTGCTGCTGCTGCTGCTGCAGGGAGTGACAGGTGGAGGGCTGTGCGCCACACAGTCCCCATCCGAGCCCAGCTCCTCCTCAGCGCAGAGAGAAGAGCGCACACTCCCCCTCTCTGCATCACTGGAAACCTCAAAGTGGCTCCCGCACATCACCTCCAGCTTCATCCTCTTACTTTAAATCCCCTTTAATGGTGCTGCGTAAAGATCTGTCCAATACTCTCCCCGCGCGTAAACTTGGTATCTCGTGTTTGTCAAGACGCAGACTGTTTGGAACAGGATCCAACAGTGTCCGTCTGTGTTGTCATACCGGCAAGTGGACTAACGCCCCATCTCACCTACAGTGTGTGTGAGCAGCAGTTTATATCCGGCTCACCTCAGGACCAACCCCAACAAGGCGGGGCCATAGATGATCTAGAGCGTCACACAACCTCTTCCCATTCCAATTGAGCGAAAGATAGTCTGTAATAAAACCACGGATCTTAATAAAAAGTTTCGCCGTAATCCTTAATTAAAGTGTCGACTGTTAATAAGTAAAGATATCCACAGGAGCCACCAATGAGTGCAGCTCTCACCTGTGTCACCTGTGAAATATGATCAGGCAAACACCTTGGGACTATTTCACCTGAGACAACCAGGTGGCGTATGTTCCTTTATATTTGTGAGTAGGTGCCTGCGGGTAGCTCAGTGTCTTATCAGTTTCATGCAGCAGAGTAATCAGAAAAAAATATCTGCCTCTCAGAAATTCTTTACATCCTCCTTATAATTAAAACAACTAAACAGTTCTTCTATTTATAGTTCAGTCTGTGGGAAAAGATGCTTATGAGCAGGATACTCATGCCAAAGCCCTAGTGAGATCCTTAGATGTTTATGCCAACTTTACAGCCCACATAGAAACCAGTGTTGTTGTGTCTCCCCATTAAAAACAAATAGAGGATCTGGGCCTGAATTGTGGGTTTACACTGCAAATTATTTTCTATGATTTATTATCTCCCTGAAATAAATCACAAAGGAGTTGAGATCACAAAACATGGGTGTGACGTGATGCCCAAAGCACAATTATGAAAATAGCCCAACAGGTGAATACACCTATTAAAGATACTCCCAAGCACTATAGTAGGCCCTTTAAATAGCAAATACCAATGTCTCATTTTCCTTTATTACCTCTGCACAGGCTGGATCTCCACCCGCTCACTCCCTACAGGTTCATCTGGCAGTCATGTTGAACTCAACAACCCATAATTCACAGTCTTATTCCCCGGAAGATTGTCAGAGCAAATCACCGGCTTAAAAAACACTGTCACCAAATCATCGAATGGAAAAACAATACCCACATGGGAACCAGCGTTGACGTCACGCTGCATCCACTGATATGCTGCTCCAGTGCCAAGTAACCTTTGTTTATGCATACTGTATTTTTCAGGCTGTTTTTCTTGCATGCAGGTTACACATGTTTGTGCTTGGCGTGAATGTTTTGATTTTCAGGTAATGATCGGTTTGTGTTGAGTGTGACACCCAATCCACGGTGAAGTCACTATTTTGAAAGGTGGCATGTCAAGGATGGATTCCTCTAAGCTAACCACACAATGACAAGAGCTCAAATACCGTGTATTCATTCTGCCGGCTGCATGTAGCAGCCTGTGAGGCCGTCATACGCTTGTATACATCAGAATCTACTTAATAACAGCTTATCTGTTACAGCTTCGAGGGGTGAGCCAAGAGAGGACTATGTTTGCTTCATGTGTGAGGAAGAAACCAACTCTCTAATCTGTATAAGGAACTATTAGCTTCATTAATGATTAATAAATCAATAAATGAATCACTATTTGACGTTTGGCCACTTTTTTACCGTTATTGATTGAGGACATCGAGCTGGAAACCTAATGCATAAACTATTATAATAAAGATAAACACCAGTAACATTTCCCAAAAACCTTGCAACCCCAAAGTCTTGATAATGTCTTATCTATAAAGATTGACCTTTTAATCTCATAACTATAAATCCTCAATCGCATCACTAGTAACAACTTATCAGCACTTTATTAGACAATATGGTGTTGTGTGATGATTTTATTACCTGTTTTGTCTTGTGTATCTATCCACAACACGGCTGGTTGTGTGTGGATTAGTGTCACACTTTCCTCTATCAATGACATACTGCCATAAAGGTTTTAACTCGAGGCTCCTGCTCTTATTGTTGCACCTTCTCTGTCACACTGTCATCCTCAGCATTGTGAGATTCATGAGCACAGAGTGGGACATTTTCTGCAGATATCACAGTTTTCACCTATTTGGTTTTCAAAGCATAAAACTGTAAGATCTGGAAATGGATAACCTTCAAAAGTGGCTCTGTCCACAAAAAAACTTTTTTAAAACTTTCTAAAAAACTAATTGAGTCTTTTCATATGCAACATGAATATGAGTATACTGTCACTGTAAGTTTGATTCTGGCCTTGAGGTGTCACCTGTTAATGAGCTGGAATGTGGAACTCAGTGAAGCGTGCACTTCAGAGACTAACTCCCTGGCTGTTGTTAAGACAGCTGACTTTCCCATTTGGCACAAAATCCCTCTGAAATAACCCATTGTATGCTTCTATATATGAATATATTTGTGGGTCGACACAATGGCTGCATCAGAACGTCAGCTCTGCAGTTGCTCACAGTCAGTTTCTTCTGCATTGTCCAAGCTCTATATAAACTCCAGTTAAACAGTTTTCTGCTGGCCCAGCAGGATCCCACAGAGAAGCCCATTGTTTCTAGAAAGTTCCCTCTGTCAGTTATTTGTAGAGGAAAACAAGTTCCCAGTCGTCTGTCGAGAGCATGTAGGAAAAAGAATAAACCTCAGAGTTCAGGTGTAGAGAACAAAGCTGTATTAGAGATATAAACGCAACAGTTCTCATACTGAGCTGAGGGATTGATACAATATAGATCTGTTTAGTACAATCTGATTGGATTGCCTAAGACAAATCTTAAGACATTTTTAAAAATCATACGAGGCAAATATTTAAACCTCGTTCAGCATTTCTGCAACGTTAATTGTTCCGGAAGACTTCTGAAAATAACCCTTGTGAGGATGTTAACCTGAGGGGGACTGTGTTTGCGTAACTCTCGCTGAAGGCTTCTAATTTTCACATGTTTTGCAGGATTTCACTGCTGAGAGCGTAGAAGATCGCAGAGTGGCTTCAGAGTCACGAATGTGTTCGGGGTTTTAAAATAGACAAAGAACATCATGTTGATTCCATGCATTCCTTCATGCTATTTATGGCAGCCATGTGTCTATTATAATTGTACAATACATCCCACCTCAGAATATTTCGTAAACCACTAATTACAGTATTTTGACAGGTCTGTTTTGAAACCATGTTACCGGTGTCTCAGTGTTTAACTGGAGCATTATGGTTTTGCACAAACATGTGCGTGTTCTTACTCATCATCAGACAGCTTACAGTAGAGGCTGTTTCTTCATGTACGTGTGGCCCCACCCTGTGAGTGCACAGCTGCAACTGCCCAGTAATTCATCAGAGTTTCTGTTTATGTGACTTTTCCTAAGCTTAGTGATTTCCTGGACCCTTTAAATATAAGAAATCTGAAAGATTCAAACTCAAAGATGACGATAAACAAAGTTCTGTCATTTCTGCTGATAGGAAAAGCAGCATTGAGAGAAGGAATGAAAACAAAGGCCGGGTGCTTTTGCTGGTTTGAGAAGTTTCTGTTTCGGTCTTCAGACATAAAGTGACAGTGCTGCTAAACAAATGGGATGAAAATATGAACTGAAGACCATTGATAATCTTACTTTAATTAAATAACCTATGTATGTGTGAAATACATTATATATGTGTGGATATTTTCCTGCTCCCTGAAACATTTCACATTTTCTCAATTGTTTCTAGAATTTATTTTATACTTTGTTTGTGTATCAGATGCACTTTTGGTGAATTAAAGTCATCAACTAAAAACTGTGGGTGTAGAAATCGCAGGCAGACCAGACAGGTTATAGTTTGAAAACACACTGATGCTGTTTTGTTTTCATATTTGCATTCTCAGCCATTTCAGTTATTACCGTTTGGTACGGGCAGGGAAGGCGTTTTGTGCGCTCTCCAGAAAAAACATCTGTGCTTGTCCAAAACTGAACTCCTCTCTCATGTTTAGACAAAAATGGGGGGATGGAATAAACACTGGCTGCAGCATCGAGGGTGGGGTTGAGATGGGGGATGTAGTTTAGAGAGCAAATGGAGGAAGCTATTTCCACAAAGAGGTAGAGGTAAAATATCACAACAGTGTGAGCGATGACAGCAAAAGCATTAAGATTATTAAGGGGTTGATCCTTTCTTGATTTACTCCACTGGTGGTTCCGGGTATGGTGAGGTTTGTGTTGAGAGACGGAGACAATCTCATAAGCTGTTACTGACAAGCAGCAGTGCCACAAAACTGTTAACGTCATCACAAAGCAGCAGTGAGAAAGGCCAGATAAACATCTCTGTCTGAGTGTGTGCAGCAGGTGTGAGTAAGCGGCTCTGTTTTTTACTTTGGGAGAAATTTTAACTGCTCTTCTAAAATATCAGAAATGATTTCCTACTAAACCTCATTCAATCATTAATAATGGACCCTCTGCACCAACTCCCAGACTTTGCAGTGTCAGTGCCACAGTTTGCAATTTTAACAACAAAATATGTCGGTGTTGTTCTCAGGATAATCCAACAGCTGTTAAACGTGTGTCTTCTCTGCTGATCACACAATGACTATATAACACAAAATTCTACACACTGTACCTTTAAAATAACTACAAAATACTAGTTAAAACAACAATGTAGAACATCTGTAAAACACAAACTGTAATAGTTGTCACTCATTGGATCCAAGTTAATAGGATCAAAAGTATCTGAGAGGTAAGTGTGATGCTAATCCATGAAACTCCAGCTCCGGATAAAACAATATTTTCGTTTGTCACAAACCCTGAGTGACAGCAAAGCAGTGCCACATTTTATATGTGAATAAAAACAATTACAAGTGAATTGAAATGACTGGACGGTGGATTTAGCACTGGTTAGATTACGTGTAATGTTGTTTTGTTCTTGTCACAAACATGTCTGTATGCCAGTGTGACTACTGACCAGTAATCTACAGCACTAATCTCCAAGAACAACAGTTGCGTGAGGCCATGCTCTGCTGCCCTGTGCCTAAACATTTATGGCTGTTTTCTGACATCGACATGTGGGATCTTGATGCGAGTTCTGATGCTATCACATTTTAAGTATGCTTAAAATATTTTGATTTTTTTCAAGCTTTGCCCATTGACTACTTTAGTGAATGTAGTGCAACAT